GCGGGGAAGCCGCCGGGGGGCAGCATGGAGCCGTAGGGGTAGCGCGCCCCGTTGGGAGCCGGGTACACAGATCCATGGGGCGCCCCGGCCGCCGCCTGGTACGGGAAGAGCGAACAGGGCGCAGCTAGCTCAGAGCCCTGAGGCCCGGGGGACTGCAGGTAGTAGCGCTCCGAGCTCAGGCTGTCCATGGAGTAGCGCGCGGTGGCAGCAGCCGCGGCGGCGACAGCGGCGGAGGGCAGCTCCTCCTCCCCGCAGGGGGAGCCCTTGCGGCCGTCCGGGGGCCCTGGCTTGGACACTGCCGTGGCGCTGGCAAAGGCGTCCCCGGCGTCGGCGTCACTTAGCATGGCCGCGGGGCCCCCCGCGCTGGCGGTTGCTGGCTCCCCGCTCCCCGGCTCGCAGGAGAGACTGGCCGAGAACTTCTTGGATGCTTTGTCTAAGTCCAGCCTCTGAGGCGAGGGGGCCGCGCCCGGGAGGTGTCCTGCGCTCCCACTGCCGCCCCCTCGCGCACTCTCCAGCGGGTAGAAGTGCGCTCCGGGCAGGTTCACCGAGCTCACCAAGAGCTGCTCCCCTAACTGCATGCTTTGCAAAGCGCAGACGGCAGCTGGCTGCTTCCTCTCCTTCCGCGACCTTATTATAAAGGCAGGATGGGGGAGCCAGCGCCCTCTTCCGAGGGGAAGGTAATTTCCCCTTCCTCCCGCGCTGGGGCTACCCACCTGCCGACTCGCAGGCCGTTAAGCGCGCACCTGCACGCCCTGAATCCAGCGTCCTTTCCGCAAGGAAAGCGCACTGAGTTTGAAGGCAGGAGGTGGAAATCGACTGAGAAGCACCCTCCTTTTCCTTCCCCGTCCCTGTTGCCTCTCTGGACCTCCACCCTCCTCCCACATTCACATCTGGGAAGAAGGGGACTTAGATCTTTGTCCCCATCCACCCACCAGCCCGCACCTTTCTGCCCCTTTCTCGGTTGCCAAACCACCGGTCAAGTTGACCACTTAAAAACTTGAGGGCTGTCACTGACTGCTTTATATACGTGCAGCTAGGGAGGGGCTTCGCGGCCCACATCCCGGGGACCCTTCTATTGGCTGATGGAGGTGACACTAATTCAATTAGGCATTTACTAATTGGATCAAGTCGCCTGTGACTTTTTTTTCCTTTACCCTGATTTTTTTTTTCCTTTCCCCTTTGAGGCTCTGTCCTGCTGTGAGAACCAATCCTAGTGTCTGTATTTCCCTAGAGTTTGGGGGAACAGGGTTTGGGGTCTCAGTAGCGGGGCCCACCCTTGACACAGAAATCATCCCAGTGCTCTGCGCAGGGAATGCGGTGGCGGGAGGAGGTTTTAGAGGACGGAGGGAGAAAGGTCCTTCAAGCTGACTGCTTGCAGGGAGGCGTCGGTGGGGAACTAGGGCGAATTGAAGATGGGCCCAAGCGAAATCTCTTTCATTGTCAGGAGCTGTAATTTCAAGGCACACCTTTCTCCCGACGGAGGACTTCCTGGCCTCCAACACACAGGGACCACTTTTTGTTCGGTTTTAATACTTTTCCCCAGTGGGAAGGGTTTGTGGAGAGGAACCTCGAGGTTAGCTTTTGGGATTCCGGAGTTGGCGAGAGCACACTGCCATCCTGGAGGAACTAACCTCTCAAATTTTGAATCCAGACTGGCCGTTTGGCTCAGTTGGTTGGAGCGTGGTTCTGATAACACCAAGGTCAAAGATTCCATGCCTCTACCAGCCAGCCGCCAATAAATAGTAGTTTTTTAAAAAATCAGAACCCAGGGTGGGGTGGGGTGCTGGAGACCAGACAAGAGGGAAACTAAGAGAGCTGACCACTTACCCTCATGCCCACTCCAACATGCCTTGCTTTCGGGAGGCAATCGCTCTTAGTTCCCACAATTTAAAATCCATGCTGCTCAGTTTTCCTGAATCCTGGATTCTTCTCCCACACCCCCATCTTCAGTTGGGCCTGACACCAAGAAACAAAGGTTTCCTGGCAGCCGCACGGCTAAGAATCCCTGTGCCTCTCCTCTGCGACATAACACAGAAGGTAGAATAATTAGTGAAATAATCAGTTTGATAGTGAATTAAGCCCCTTTGCCCCAGCTGCCTGTTTCTTCCCTGCGCTTCCGCAGAGTCAAGAGCAGTGCCGTCATATTTTACTGTTTTATTATTACGGAAGGCGGGGTGGGGGTGGGGGGCTGTACGTTTCGTGGCGGATAAGGAGAAGCCTGAATATTCGCTGTTAATAAGCAATTCTGGACGCCGCCAATAATCGCTCCGGGAACGCATTTTCCGGCTGAGATGTTGAGACTCTGCTTCCCCACCCGAACGCGATCACACGGGAAACTCTTCGCCCACAACAGATGAGGTGGCCGCAGGATTTTCTGAGCTCAAACGCGCCAGTGCAGAAGAGCGCGAAGCTTCCCAACTTAGGTTCAGACCACAGCAGCACCAACATCGGCACGTCTGGGTTAGAGCGAGGCGGTCCTTAATGCACTCTCCAGGGCATTTATCACAGTTTTTTTTTGTGGTGATGAAAACCAGGAGCGCATGAAGGTTTTCAGGGTCAAGGCACAGCCAGGGGGGAGGGAGCAAGTTAAGATGAGGGGGCCAGGGCGGTGGCTTTGTAGGTCCTGGGCTAGAGCAGCCCGGGAGCAGATCCCCGGAAAGCTGGCCCCCGGCGCGCTCAGTCCTGCGCTCCCTGTATTTCCATTTCGTCTCATCAGTTTATGAGTTTGATGTGGCTCTCTGCTCTCATCACTCCACTGTCCACTCCTACCTCCCCCGCCTTAGTTTTATTTTGACCCAGCGAAGTCTTGAAGAATTGATATTTCAGATAGTATAGCGCTTTTGAAGATTTCGTGATTTTCAACGTGGGGATTCCGTGAGGGGGACGCCAGCGCAAGTGAAGGAAAGGGCCGTGCGGCTTGCGCGGTTCTGGCGACCAAGCCCTGGGCTACCGGGTTCTGGTTACGGCTCCTGGGATCCTCCACATTAGCCAGGTCCTGAGCTGCAAGATGTTTGAGGGAAAAGCATGGTGGGGGGAGACAGAATCTCACGTTATTTGGAAATAAGGTGGCCGGGGGACATGGAAGTTTTGCACTTTAACACGACCAGAAGCGGGCCTCGTGTCCCTTCGAAACGCTTTTGAAGCGGCCAGGGAAGCGCTTTGCGTGGCAGAGTGCCATCGCAGGCAACAGGCATCGTTCCGATCCACTCTGGCGCAAATAACGCGGGCCAGCTGTCCCCCGCGCCACATCAGAAAGGGCTAATTTTATTCCAGCCCCAGAGCAAGCTCTTGAAAGCGCGTGGGTTCATTACGAGTGCCACATAATTATTAAATATATACACAGTATGTATCATTAGGATTTGTATTGATTCTTGGGGGCAGGGAATTGCGGTATATATCTCCCCACCCCCCACCCCCAATAAATCTATTATTATACCCAAACTTCAACACATTTTACAGATGGAGAAGCAAAGAAAAATTCAAAGAGAATGAAAATTTAGGTTCTACAAAATTACTCTGGGACTTAAAATTTTTGGAACATGGAAAATATTTACAAAATATATTACATATTATAAGTATATATTTAAAATTCCTCTTTAAAATAATGAAAAGCACTGTTTCAACTACAGATTTTTTTTCTGTCTGCAGAACAAAGAGACAAAGATCTCATTTAATGATTCTTCTGTGTTGATTAATTACCTCATTATTATTATTACATATGGAATATAGTAGTCTAAAATGCCTGGAGAGTTACAGATGAACAAATCCGTGATTTTCTACTTGGAATGGGCTTTCCTTTTGCTGGCCCAATATTACTTATAACCAGGGAAAGAGGCATAAAAAATATTTTCATGTATCCCAGCCACACTTTAAAATACAAGCACTCCTTTCCAGAAATAGGAACAGAAAAGAAAGCTATAGCAGTGGCTTCAGTGAACATGTCAGGCAGCACCCTCCTTAGACTGGGTGGGCAAATAACAGAGCTTTCCAGCCTGTTTGCTGTTTGATTTCAATTACACCCTAAGCTTCATGAAATCCAAATGAGACATTTATTGAAAGGTGCCTGGTTTTATGTGGCTCAACTGACAGTGTATTGGAATACATTGAACAAAAACATCAACACTGAGGAGGAAATGTGGAGACCCCTTGGAACCCCAGACCCAAATGCTGGCTGGATTAACTCAAATTTTGCATCTTTCAGCCTGAGATGGAGCAAGCAGGAACATTTGAAGGCTACAAGGAAGCCAATGCTAAAGCCTGTGTGTGAGCATATTAAAGACCTCATGCTCTATTGTCCTGAACAATAATACCAACTTCATGCCACCATCTCAATCTGATAACACAAAGTTATTGCCAACTTGACCAGGTGACCTCTTTGTCCCTTTCCCTTAGATGTAACCACTATGAATGCATTTATCTTTTAAAAGCAAAAGTAAGAAGCATTTGGTTGTAACAGAACTATTACACATCAAATACATATATACACATATGAATAAATTGCAGAGGTGAGTTATAGATGAGTGCAATGATATAGGGCTAGCCCCTCCACCCCCCAACCAAGGGGGCCCATATAAATGTCCCAATAAATTCTATTATTTTCACCCCCACTAAAAACGTGTTATCAAAACACTGTTCATGTTATTCAAACACTTTGTAAATTCTGAGCAGACTTGCTGCCGGTTCTCCTTTTAACCCTAGGAAAACATTCCAACATTAACCGGTCACCAGCGCTCTGCCTGGACTCTGGGAAAATGTCAATAGGTTTTTTGTGGCAAGTTGGTCCTTTTACTATTTATCTATAGCCCTTTCTTTGTTGATGTTACATTTTATTTCACCATCTCAAGTTCACTCTTTGGCCCTTTGTTCTCTGATGGCCAGATCTGCCACCTCTGCTGTGCTTTCCAAAGGGGGAGGGAGCTTTCATCACTGTAAGGTGGTTCATGTATGTTTCTTTCTTTCTGTCTCTCTCTCTCTCCCCTTCCTCTTATTCTTTTTTCTTTCTTCCTTCCTTTCTCTCTTTTTCTTTCTTCCTCTCCTTTCTCCTTCCCTCCTTTTTTCTTTCTCTCTCTTTCTATCTCTCCTTTCATTCTAAAAAAAAGTCCTGTAAGACAAAACATCTCAGCAAGAACATGTAGTGTTGGTTCTGCTGACAACTGCAGTTATTCCCAGGAACACAGTTTCACTTTTATAAGAATTTATAGAATTATATTTCACAATGACAATGAAATAGATTGGTCACTTGCTTAAAAACAAAACAAAACAAAACAAAACAAAAACCCAGATCCATAAATGAGTGAATTCTGCTGACAACTGCAGTTATTCCCAGGAACACAGTTTCACTTTTATAAGAATTTATAGAATTATATTTCACAGTGACAATGAAATAGATCGATCACTTGCTTAAAAACAAAACAAAACAAAACAAAACAAAAACCCAGATCCATAAATGAGTGAAGCAAAGGGTTGTATTAAACCCACTGTATTTTTCAAAAAAAAAAAAAGACCAATTTGAACTATTATCTTAGCTATCAGTTTATAAATTTATTTGTTAAGTGCAGCTGTTGTTCACTGTCAAAAT